CTGTGTCTAGGGACATCAGAGGTTTCTGTCATTCACTGACTCTGGTTTTGGAAGGACTTTTTCTCTAGAATGGACCTCCTACCTCCCTTGATGGCCAGCTATAGTCTTGACTCCACACGTGGTCCTGGGCATCCATCTTTCTATCATCTTTCTATTACTCTTCTATAAGCCCTGGTGTACCTTCACCTGTGTCCTACAAGAAATGTAAAACACCAATTCTAGTGATAAAAATCACAGCCTGGGAAGTAAAATTTTTTAAAGTACTTTAATAACTAAACTGATATAACTTTCAAACTAAAATATGTAATTAATTGTATTTTAGAATGTAAATTCAAAATTGTATATGAGTACTATATATTTTGAGTCTTATTTACTGACAATACTGTACTACCAAGCTTCAACAGTACTTTGAAATTTCTCGCTGCTGCTGTAATGTGAGTTTAGCGATCATTCCCCTTCCAAATTCTCCAACTTATACAAATTTTTTTCAATTTAATCATGTTATTTTAAAATTTTATTATTTTTATTTTATGTGTATGTGTGTATTGCCTGCATGTAGGTAAGTGTACCTGTGTTGTGCAATGCCTATGGAGGACAGAAGAGGCTGTCAGATCCCCTGGAACTGGAGTTACAGACAGTTGTTAGCTGCCATGTGGGTGTTGGGATTTGAACCTGGGTCTTCTGCAAGAACAGCCAGTGTTCTTAACCGCTGATCCATCTCTCCAGCCCCAATTTAATCATGTTATTTTTTAAAAGCAATGCTAATTAAAAAAAAAGCACACATGACAGCTACAGATATTAAACAAAGTTCCTAGAAATCAATAAGAAACATACAAACTAGTCATTAGAAAACCCATGGGCAAGGGACAGGAAGCATTCCATAGATTAGGAAAACACATTGGCAAATAAGTTAATTTAAAAAATGTTCAGTCTAGCTGAGGATGGTAGTACATACTTGTAATACCAACATTTGGAAGGCTGATGCAGGCAGACTGTGAGTCTGAGGCCAACCATGGCTACATGATGAGATGCTATCTCAAAAGCAAAGCAAAACATAATGTACAATCTTATTTGTATTTGAGAAATAGTTTTTAAAAGATATTCACATATGCACATCTATTTTATTGTTGTTATGCATATCTCATATCAGGCGGAAGTTTTGAATTCGCCATAATAATTTGCTGGGCATGGTGGTTCATACCTGTAAAACCAGTTGTGTTGGATAGCTTTAGTGTCAACTTGACACACCTGCGTTGAGGGAGCCTCAGCTGGGGAATTGCCTCCAATAGGCTGGCCTGTGGGACATTTTCTTGATTATTGAGTGATATAGGAGGGCCCAGCCCACTGTGGGTGGTGCCACTCCTGGGCAGTTGGGCCTATGCTGTATAAGAAAGCAGGTTGAGCAGGGGCCAGGGAGCAAGCCAGTAAGCAGAATTCCTCCATGACCTGTGCTTCCAGCTCCTGCCTCCAGGTTCCTGCCCTGAGTTTCTATCTTGGGCTCCAAGATGACCTGTGACCAGGAGATATAAGATGAATAAACCCTTTCCTCCCCATGTTGATAGTAGTCAGAGTGTTTTGTCACAGCAATGGAAAAACAAACTAGAACACCAGTACTTGGAAAGGAAAAAGCTTAAGTGTCTGGAGTATGTAGTGTAGTGAGTTCCAGGCCAGCCTGGACTATAGAGTGGAACCCTGTCACAAGACACACACACAGACACATACACAGAGACAAGCAATCATTGGTTAAACTTAAATTATTTTTTAGGTAAAATTTATAACAAAAGTATATAATTCTGGAAATTAGAAATTGTAAGGAGAAAATGAGAGTTCCAGAAAGAGCTCTAAGACTCTAAGAATGAATAACCAGATGATATATAGAAAACAGCCATCGGGGCTGCCAGAGGCTCTAGACATTTCTCAAACCCTGGATTATCAGTTTTAATATGAGAAAAGGGGGGAAAGGAGTTCTGTACATATAGGTTGAAGACCTCAGTTTTTTCCACAGCTGCTGCCCAGCCATTGTGGACAGCACCATTCCCTAGGCAGGGAGTCCTGAGCTGTATGAGATGGAAGAAAGCAAGTTGAAAGCCAGCACAAGCATGCAAGGAAGTACATATTCCCACTCTGTACTTACTGTGGATGTGCGGTGACTATCTGCTTGAGTTCCTGCTCTGACTTCCTCAGAGTGAGGGACTATGGTCTAGTTTGGGTTCTGTTGCTGTGATAAACACCATGACCAAAAAGCAACTTGGTAAGCAGCATTTATTTCAGCTTACAACTCCCAGATACAATCCATCACTGAGGGAAATCAAGGCAGGAACTGAAGCATAAAACATGGAGGAGTGTTGCTTACTAGCTTGCTCCCCTGGCTTGCTTAGGTATCTTTCTTAAACAGCTCAGGCCCACCTCTCTAGCAATGGCATCACTCACAGTGAGCTGGGCCCTCTTGCATCAATCAACAATCAAGAAAATGTCCCACAGACATGGCCATAGGCCAATCTGATGGAGATAATTCCTCAATTGAGATTCCTTCTTTGAGGTATGTCTGGGTTTGTGTCAAGTCAATAAAAAACTAACTAGCACATACTATAACCTGGAATTGTAAGCCAAATACAACTTTTCCTTCCCAATGTTGCTTTTTGTTGGGTATTTTATCATAGCAACAAAAATGAAACTAGAGCATTGGCACACATGGTATTCCATAAGCAAGTCTAATTTTTATGATTTTATGTAGCAGTTAATTTTTCATTAGAAAATTGGCATAAAGTTGCTTACAGAATTCTTATGAACTTTTAAAAGTATTTTCTGTTAAATCTACAATTATATTACTTTTTCACTCAACCATTAATATGGCTAGCTTTTTCTTCAGCACTAGGGTTCAAATTCAGGGCTTTGTACATATTATCTTGGTTTTGAATTTCATTACATTACAATCAGAGAATGCAATATGTTTGGCATTGATTTTTTTGGTATTTGTGATCTGTTTTGTGGTTTTATAAATGTTGTGGGCTGTAAAAAACCGATTTACAAAAACCGATTTCAGAGTTGTGTATATATGTTTGCATATACATATGTCTAGCCACACAATACATAAACACATTTGTATACATTCACCACACAATACATAAACATATTTGTATACATTCACCACACAATACATAAACACATTTGTATACATTCACTCACATACACATAAGACATGAGGTGAATTAATTAGATTGTTCAATCTTCCATACATTTATTTTATAGCTACATAATCAATTACTGGCAAAGATATATAGAAAAGGTCCTTCTATCAATTTGGCCTGGTATTTATGCCAATTTTTGCATTATTTTTAAAGCTTTGTTATTTCATGCATATACATTTAAAATCATTTTATTTTCCTAGTGAATTATTACTTTTGGCATGCAGTAATTATCTTTTTTACACTCAATCATATTCTATGAATTGTGTACTGTAGTTCCAGAGGGAGGAAAAAAGGAGCTGCACCTGTATTAAAGATTGTACAAGGCCAAATGACTGAACTTTATCATGATTATAGAGAGTTAAAATGTTGTAAGTCAAGCCAAATTATCTTGAGCTATTTTCAATTCCTTTGAAAGTCATTCATCGTCCATTCCTATGTCTGACTTATCATCCTTGTGACTATCAAAAGCCTTTAAAATGTATTCTTAGCAAGTCATTAGCTTTCACCGATCTGATCTAAGAATCATCAGATAGCATGTGAGGCCTATAACAGAGATCTCACTTTGCTATAGCCCTCTTACCTGATGTTTCGACCTATGCATTTTTAAAGTCTTTTGATTTATGATTTCCTTTGTTGTTACACTTCTTAAACACCTCTTAAAATTGATACATCACTGGAACATGGAATTTGGGGTAACAAGAATCTGTGTTCCTGGGCATGGTCACTCATATTTGGCTCTAGAATAAATTCTCACTTATTCTTTGTGGTGAGAGCAGTTGTTTTCATGTTAATAGTGTTAAAACATATCCTGTCTGATAATATTAGCATGATTTCAATTATGCTTTTTTTCCTGCCAGCTGAGAGGGTTTTTTGTTTGTTTGTTTTTGCTTTTCTGCAAGTTCAGTAATGCACTTAAAAAAGATATTTGAGCCGGGCATGGGGGACATGCCTTTAATCCCAACACTTGGCAGGCAGATTTCTGTGAGACTGAGGCCAGCCTGGTCTATATATCGAGTTCCAGGCCAGCTGGGATTACAGGGAGACCCTGTCTCAAAAAGAAAAAAAAAAGATATTTGATACAGTTTATTCATTATTTCTGGTGTATGTACCAAGCAAGCTTGCAGGATCTGGTTTGTGTCTAGATCTTGAAGTTCTAAAACTTTTTTTTAAAATAATGAAACTTATACTCACCCTTGGACAGAAATTAATGATTATGTTTGATATCCAATCAGAATAGCAGAATGAATTGTACAATGTATATAACCAAGGCCGTGACTCATCAGTGAAGTTGTCAGGCCATATTAATTACAGGACTCAATCTGAATGTATTAATTTTATACCTCCAACAAACACGAAAAGGTTTTTTTTCCCTATAGTTTCTCCTAAGAATCTGATCTGGCTCTCATCCCTGAAGGGTGGTCGTCCCCCACTGATTGAGGACTACTGGTTTGTGGAAGCTCAAAAGAAGATTACAGTTTGATGATGGAAGTATTTTATTTCAATGATAGTTTGGTATTCCTCTTATGCTTTGCCACTCACAGACAGTACACTTAATAGTTGGCTCTCCTGCTCTGTGTGTTCCTTTTGTTATGTTTCCAGACTGCTCTGGTCTCCTGGCGATGTTTCATGTGAGACCAGCACTAGGCTCAAACCCATTTTCTTATTGGAGATGTGTGGATTCCAACTCCAGAAGCAAATAACTGATAGTTAACCTAGCCTTACCAATAAACACTTATTAAGGACTTCCAACACTCATTCTGTACATCTGCTTATGGTGCGAATTAGGATCTACTTTTCTCTGCTACTATGAATTTCAAAGGCCCTGGTTAAAAATGGAATGTTGGTTCAGCTGTTTACAAGGAGCCTGAGGGAAGTTTTCATTCATCATCAGCAACATTGATGTCTGATTTATCTGCCTTCTCATATTTATGTACTACATAGAAAGCCTTTAAAAACTCATTAAAATCAATGCTTCCATCTTTGTTGAAGTCCATTGTGTTGGCGAGCTCATCAATTTGGGAATCATCAATATGAACACTGTAGTGAGCATTGAAAAGTTTCCACATGGCCCGAAATTCTTCCATGGAGATCAGGCCTAAAAGAATACAGGAGAAGGTGGTAAGGGTTCATTTCAAGACCCACCTAAAGGAGGAGTGGGGAGGCCACACTGATTGAACAGTCCCAATTACAAGCTCATTAATATGCCTGAGTATCAAGATACCGAAGGAAACAGAAGATTATAAATATAAGAAGCAATATGTCTCTTTTCAACTACCAAGGATCCTGGGGTTATTCTTTCCCTAAAGTGAATAAACAGTGAGGAAATAGCAAGGGTTTGTGGACCTAATATGGTATAGAAATTGCAAGAACTAAAATCTAAGGGTCTGGAACACATGAAAGGATGGCAGAAGGGAGAACAACATCAAAGCAGGAAGAAGTACCCTGAGAGTTAGTAAATGATTGCAAACCATGTTGTGGTCTCAGCCTCTCTTCTCTCTCTCTCTCTCTCTCTCTCTCTCTCTCTCTCCCACACCATGGTGCACATGTGGAGGTCAGAGGATAACTTGAGAGAATCAATTCTCTCCTTCCACTATGTGAGTCTTGGGGAGCAAACTCAGGTCATCACACTAAGCTACAAGCACCTTTGCTAGCTGACCCATTTTACAGGCCTGGTGTTTGTTTTTTTAAATAGGCAATAATTTACTTTCATGGATCAATTATTATTATTATTTTGGTATTCAAATGTCTCTGCATGAAGGTAGGGGTGGGGACAGGTTGCTGGGGATGGCACCCAGGGCTTCACATTTGGTAGGCAATCCCTGTACCACTGATATATTCCAAGTCCTATTTTTTAAAGTTGAAAATAAGCAATTTTCCATCAAATCTAAATAGAAAACAAGTTTTCAGTCTCCAAAACCGAATTAGAACTCTGGGCATGATTTTTTTTTCTTGCTGCATTAACTAAGATACTAAAATAGAAAGAGATTTTTTAGTCGCTTCTCTGCCTTTTACCTAAGATGAAGTGAAAGGGAATTATCTTTTTCATCTGTAGTAGTCACTTATAAAAGGAGTTACTCCAGTGTGACCAGTGCTACCTAGGCTTCTGTAGACATCTATGGTCTTCAATACAGAATTTGGGGGCCAAACTAAAATACCAGTAATGTTACACATGAGTTTATCTTTTCCCTTAGATTTTCATCAAGTTTGGATGAACAATGAAATAGATGAAAACTGAGTTCTGAGTTCAGAGAAACAGACTGGCCTTCACTTTTTATTACTATTGAACTAATCAAAGTTCATTTACCTGAGTGATCAGAGTCAATGATATTAAATATGATTTTCAGGTCAGATCTGTATCTGTACAGAGTTTCAATTAGTGCTGATTTAGCCTAAAAGAAAGATTTTCCAAGTGTTAAAACATTTAGGATCAACAACAAAATTTAAGCAAATGTAACAAATACAAAATAATCTCACCAATTCTTTTTATCTTCTTATGGTGCTGAGGATCAAACTCAGGGCCTTGTATGCATGCTAGGCAAGTCTCTACAGCTGAACTATACCCTAAACCTACCAATTCAAATATGAGAAGGCAGGTCTTCCCTTGGTCTAACCATTTTTAATAAGATTAAAGACTTGCTCTTGTGTTCCACAGGGGATGAAAGGATGAAAACTAAATAAGGCATAAAAGTAAATAACAGTTGTTAACATTTATAGGAGGCGTTCTTGTGGATTATTTCATTCAGTCCTCTACAAGCCAAAAGAATAGGAACATAAAACTGTGATATCCATTTTACAAATTAGAAAACAGAGATAAAGTAACTTTCCCAAAGGTAACATAGCTGGTAAAGTGAGATTTGACTCTCAGCAACCCCAAGCTAATGCCTATGATCTCAGGCACCAAGGTAAACTGTCTCTAACATCCAAAGCCTCTTCCCTGTGGACATTTTAATTTCCAACCTGCACTTTTATTTCTCTTCTCTCTATTCTTCTCATCTTCCCTGCAAATAATCATCCAACTCTTGGGTTGGATCAGCTCAAGTTTATAATAAATTGCTGATGAATCGCTAACTAGTAAGTGCTGGGATCTGATCATTCCCCCTAGGGTATTCCCCCTTTGATAAGGCATTTCAGTGGCCTGAAAGTCTCTGCTTCCCTGTGTTCATGAACCAGCCCTGGCTCTTACAATCTTTCTGCCCCCTCTTCCGCAATGGTTCCTGAGTTGTGGGTGGGTGAGGTTCAATATAGGAGTCCCATCCAAGGATACACACTCTGCAGTCTCTTATTGTTGTATAAAGAAGCTTTACAGGTGAGAGTCACTGGAAGCTTGCACATGAGAAATTGTGGCAATGGTGACATTGAGCACAGAACCCATGTCAACTCAATTAAACAAGGGCTCACAGGGGAGGAGAGAAATGGGTGGTGGGCTGGCCCTAGACTGAGAACTATTGGAGACTGATTGCTGCTGAGTAGGGGAGAGTATGCCTTACATACGATCTCTAGATGGGCTGACTAGACTTTGGTTTACAAATTTACACTGAAGGACTTCTGGATACAAATGCTTGACTGGATGGGACTTAATGTATATGGTAGAATATATGAGGTCCAGTGAGTGGTGGGAGGGCATGGATGGGGGAGGGGGTCTAAATTTGTTTTAAAATTGTTGTATGAACTTACAAAAGCTCAATAAATTTTTTTTAAAAAATAAGGTATTTCACATTCATAAAATTCTTTTTTGGTCTTTTTGAGACAGGGTCTCCTTATAGCCACAGCTGGCCTAGATGTGCTATGGAGACCAAGCTGGCCTCAAACTCACAGAGATCTGCCTGCGTCTACCTCCTGAGTCCTGGGATTAAAGGTGTGCACCACCATGCTCAGCTTACATTTTTAAAAATTCTGTAAGGCATATTCTAGGTCATATGGGCAAGTCCATACATGCATGTTACATATTTAAATGACATTTTAAATGAAAGAACAAATGTTGTATCTGCCTTTCTACTGGACAGTCCTGAAAATACGAACCTTTTTTTTTTTTTTGCCAAAGCTTTTGCTGTTTTCTTCTCACTCTAAAGAGGATATACAAATTTCTTGAACCCATCACCATGTCCCTAGGAGATTCCTCTTTGGTCTTTCTTGAGACAGCCATTCCCATGCATTAGATGATTCCACTCCCAACTTTTGAAAGCACTAAGTTACTTAGAGGTTGTCCAAAGAGTGTTTTACCCCAGCCAGATTTTAGCCAGGACTATATGCCACTTGCCTCTTTCACAGGTTTTTCAATGTGGACATCCTGGAAGCTGGACATGTAGTCAATATTTCCATCTTGGTCCATGTATACCAGATGCGAACTCAGGGATCTCCACGGTAAGTTCAGTCCCAAAATGTTCTCCAGAGAAAAAGCCCATTGGGCCAGTGAAATTTTTCCTAATAACAATAACAAAAGCCTATATAATTTGTGTATAACTTGACACACACACAAAAAGATACAAATGCCTTGGCAGAGCTAGTGGGCAGCCTGGGGTATTGGGGTCTGGGGGCCTGCTATTCTCCTTCATGATCTGTTCTACCAGGCCCCAGAGCCCTGAGGGAAGAATAAGCAAAGAAAGTCTTTCATATTCCATAAATCTTACCTGTACTGTTACATATGAGAAATTTCACTTTGAGTATTAGAAATTTTTCACTTTTTCTAATAAACAAAGTACACTTATCAAAGAGGATTTAAAAACAAAAAAGATGAAAGACTTTCATTTTAATATTTTAACATATTATTCATCTATTTCCCAGCTAATTATGATTTTGTTCTTAATATGGACATTTTGACAAATAGGTAATTTTCCAAAATAAAAATATTTTTATTTTTCTGGTCATTGCAGATATATATTCATTTGAAGCAACTTTTTGTTGGAGATCAAACCTAGGGTGTATGGTAGGCAAGCACTCTACCACTGGGCTACATTGCCAGACCTTTTTTTTTTTTCTTTGAGAATGGGTCTCAATATATAACTCAGGCTGGCTTTGAACCCATTATGTAACCCAGGCTGGCCTCAAACTCACAATCTTCCCCTCTATCTTTCTCAGGGATTACAGGTATGAACCACCATGCCTGCCACAGAAATGATTTTTAATAAACAATTTTCTAAGTATAGATTTTCTTCTAAGTATATAAACAGTTATGCATAAATACACACATAGTTTCCCTTTCTCTCTCTTCTTTTTTAAAATTTTTAATATCTACATCATTAGAAGAAGTATTTCATTACAGCTTTAACATATTCAGTAACACACTCCAGAGCAAGAGTTCATATCTTTCACAAGTGGCTGTAAGTTTCTAGGCTTACAGTTGAATTAATACAGTTATGCAATATTGAACTCAGTATAGCCCTGTAAGACATAAAATTTAATGAGTTTTTAACCTTTAAAAAAGATTTCCATCTCTCTTGTTTTTTGAAATAGCATCTCACTATGTAGCACTGGCTGGCCTGGAATTTGCTATGTAGATCACAAACTCACAAAAATCTGCCTGCCTCCTGAGAGCTGGGATTAAAGTCTTGCAGCACCATGCCCAGTTATAATTTCTCTTTCTTCAAACAAAATATACATTGTACTCTAGTATATATTTCATACATATCTATTACATATGGAAAATGCACATATACATACATATATTTATTCTAGCCTAGGCTTTACTTGCATTTAATTATGGACAACCATCTATGTTAGGAACCGTACTGTTTATGTTTATCTATGTAGATTTATGTTAATAATCATTGTCTCAATGGCTATGAAACTATTTCATATTTCCTTAGGATAACTCCTAAAAGTGAAATCATTGCAAAATCAAAGAGCATGCAGATTTTTAGGGATTTTGAATACATAGTCATTCCTTATTATTCATGAGGGATTGATTCCCGACCTTCCTCATGGATGAAAATCTCAAGATTCTCAAGTTCTTTATACAAAATGATGTAGTATTTGCATATAACCTACACACAGCTTCCAGTGTACTTTAACTTATCTGTAGAATACTTATAGTGCCTCATACAATGTGAATGTTATGTAAATAGTTGTTATAGTGCATTATTTATAGAATAAGGACAAAAAAGTCAATATGTATTCAGAACAGACTTAAAAAAACATTCTGAGTACTTTTTCCAATCTTTTGCCTTAAAGATATGTGGAAAACACAATTATACTCATTCTTCTAGCAATTTCCACTGGCATGACAGTGGGTGGATCCAACTTCTCCAATACTGGCCCACTAGCTGAAGACCAACCCAGACTGGAGATGGGTGTGGGAGTGAACTCCTGCCCATCCAGAGAGCCACAGCCACACCCTCTCTAATGAGATCTGACAGCCACACCCTCTCTAATGAGGTCTGAATCTCAGCCTTGGTTCCTTTGCTAGATATTCTCTTTCTCAGTCCTAGAGATAGCTCCTCCCTATACTTTCTATTCCCGCATTTTTTGAGTTCTCTTTCATCCTTTTACTAATGAACCATCCATTACTAGCTAGTAATTCTTCATATAAAATTTTCCCTTTCAAATTACTGATGTGGCTTCTATATCCTGAATAGACAAATAACCCTAGTTTATAGCAATGCAATGAATTTCTGTGGGCTGATCTTGAGTTTGACAACTTGCTAAATTAATTAATTCTACTGGTTTTTCAGTAGATTCCTTTGGATTTCCTATATACCCGATCATGTCTACACAAAGTGTAGCTCAATTTCTTGATTTTTAATTACCATTGTTTTAATTTGACTTTGTCCTGGAATGTGACTCTAATACAATGTCGAACAGATATCTTGATAGCAGGCATCTGTATTAAGTTCTTATTATTTATGTAACAAAAAAGATTTCTCTTATAGTATGGGGGGGTCAGATCTGAAATCGGTTTCATCTGACAAAAGTACATGAGCTATAGAATAAACAAGGAGAAATCAAGCTGGTGCTAACTTCAGAGCTTCATCTCCCCTTTCTAGCATTCCTAGTGCTATGCATGCTACCAAAAGGAAAAAAATAATCATCAACCTCACCCAGCTGGGAATACTGTGAACTACAATAACAGCTGGTTTGGCATGATATGCTCACAGGTGCAATAGTGGCACAGGTATTATGGGAGTAACAAACCACTCTTTAATTTGATTCGAGGTCTGCTTTCTAAGATGGAGCCCATACCTGACAGTGATATCCAGCTTAGGAACCTGAGTCTAGACAGGTCACAGGACATAGGGGAGAATCTAATACTAGTTTTCTACTAAATAGTTATCATATAAAACTAACTCTTAATTACTGTTGTTATGATCATAGATTAATGCATCTCTCTGCTCTCACCAGAGAAGTTTCCTTACACAACAGATGGTGATTAACACAGAAATCTACAAGTGGTCAATGTACAGAGAACAAGAGGATGCAGACTTCTTATTCCTAAATAGGATACCTATATCAAATGTCTGCCTCCCAAGGTTCAGGGATCATTGTGGAACAGGGGGCTTAAGGACTGTAAGAGCCAGAGGTGGTGGATGACCATAAGGAAACAGAGTTTTTCAGACAGCTGGTCAGTTACCCATATATGGCCCAAAAAACTCTTGTTATTGGTGCTGTAGTGGCACTTTTATCTTGGGTGTAATCAGCAGCTGTCTAGTTGGAATTAAGGACTGCTCAATGGAAAGGAACTCATGTGTGGTACTGTAAACATAGCCAAGTATACATGACTGGAGAGGTCATGGATCCTAGAGCAAAACCTACTTTTGCTACATCCCTAGACCAGCATAGTTTCTTACTTTATTCTAAATATGCATCCCCATATTTACCAACAAGTGTACCTTTTGCCCCTCATTAATTAAACTTCTTTTTGCAACAGATGGAGACTATTTTAGAGTTCCGGGGCTGGTCAAACACAGAGAATAAGTGTCTGTGAGATGATAAACACTAAATGACACATCTTCAATGCAACCTGTACACACAGGATGAATGCATCTCTCAACTCACACCAGACGAGTTTCCTTATGCAGTAGATGGTGATTAACACTGAAACCCATAATTGGTCAAAGTGCAGAATACAAGAGGCTACAGAGTGCTTATCCCTGAATCTAACCCTCTAACAAATTTTTGCCTCCCAAGGATGAGGGATCATTGCAGAAGAGGTAGCAGAAAGATTGTAAGAGCCAGAGGTGGTGGATGACCATAAGGAAACAGAGTTTTTCAGACAGCTGGTCAGTTACCCATATGAACTCACAGCAACAGTGAGCAAACTCAAATCAGAAAAAAAAATCAGCATAGACAAGAGGAAGTAGGTAAGAAGCTCCAACCCCACCTAAGGAAATTATTGCAACAGATGGCTGCTGGGAGAGGCAGAGACTGTCCTTTTCAAACATGGGACTCTTGGTAGGCTAAGCAGGCTCCAGTGGATGGACCCACACTGAAGGACAGAAATGACTCTACAGACCTTATTATATATTATGTAATATATAATAGAGTGCAATAAGTTGGGCAGGGGGCAATAAGGGGAGGTACAGATAAGGGAGGGGATCTAAGTACCATTAAATTATATTGCATGAAAATCACAAAAATTCAATAAAAAAATTAAAGGGTTGTCTCTTCTGGAAGCTCTGAGGGGAAAGATCTATTTCTTTCCTTTCTCCAGCTTGTCCTGTCTAGATTCTTTAGGTTGGATTTCCTTCTTTCATATACAAATGGATGCTATTTCAGTATCTGATTCTATCATTCTATCACCTTTTCTTCTAACTCTGTCTCCTACATACATCTCTATTAAAAGGACCATTATGACTATAATAGAGTCCTGCTTGGATAATGCAGGATAATCTTCTAAGCTCAAGATTCTAAAATTAATCATGTCTATAAATTCCTTTTTAGCATTTAAGGTAATATCCTCAGATTCTGGGATTAGGATATAGACACACCAGGAGACAGAGCATTATTCAGCCCTACCACAATGATATCCTATTCTCATTCCCAACCCATTAAGTATGTTGCTATAAACTTTTGTAGATACTTTTATGAGACTAAGGCTATTTTTTCAGGGTCTTATATAGCCCAGGATGGTCTTAAACTGGATATGTAGGTAAGGCTAGCCTTTAATTTGGATCCTTCTGCCTCCACCTTTCCAGTGGTACGATTACAGGCATGAGCCACCACACCCAACCTTTGTTCATAAATTTCTAAACTCTTTTTAAAACTATGGCTCAAGATGTAGTTCAGTTGGCAGAGTGCTTGCTTAGCATGCACAAAACCAGAGGTTCAATCTGCAGCACTACACAAATAGGGCATGGTGGCATAAAGCTTTAATTCCAGAACATGGGAGGTAGAGGCAGGAACATCAAAAGTTCAGAGTCATCCTCAACTACATAGGGAGTTCAAGACCAGATTGCCTACAGAACCTGTCTTAAACAAACAAACAAACAAACAAATATGAAACCAGAATAAAATATATCAATTTTAAAAATTTAACAGAATTGTGTGAATCTTTGTTAAAATGGTGAGTTATATTGATTGGATTTTGAATGATAAAACAACTTAGAATTTCTAGTATTCCTAGCAAAATCTAAATTTGGTTGTGATATATTATTTTACTATTTCATTTAGGATTTTTTCATATAAATTTATGAGTAAGGTCAGCCCTTAATATTTCTTTTCCATAATAGTTTTGCTCAGTGTTTGGTATCGAGGTTATGTTGCCATCTCTAGGAAGAGATCCTGCTATTTCTATTTTCTGAAAGAGCTAGTATAAGATTTTTCTTACTTTCTTTTCTTCTTTTTTTGTTTTTTGTTGTTTTTTGGTTTTTGAGACAGGGTCTCCCAGTAGCCACAGCTGGCCTGGAACTCACTATGTAGACCAGACTGGCCTCAATCTCACAGAGATCACCTGCCTCTGCATCCCAAATGCTTGGGTTAAAGGAGCCCCCACCCACTTTCTTTTTTGTTGAGACAAGTTTCACTATGTAGCCCTTGCTGGCTTGGAATTCCAGAGATCCATCTGCCTCTATCTCCTGAATGCTGAGATTAAAGGCATGTATTATCATGTCTGGCTTATGATCTTTGTTAAAATTTTTATTCATTATTATTATTTTAAAACATTTTATGTGTATGAATGTACTGCCTGCATGTGTGTAGATGCACCTGTGTAGTGCAATGCCTGCAGAGGTCAGAAGAAGGCATTGGATTGCCTGGAACTCTAGTTACAGACGGTTGTTAGCTGCCATGTGGATGCTGGGAGTCAAACCTGGGTCCTCTGTAAGAGCAGTCAATGCTCTTAACCGCTGAGCCATCTCTCCAGCCCCTTATTTATTATTTTTATTTTATGTAAATGAGTGTATTGCCTGAATGTATATAATTGCACCTCTGTACTGTAATCCCCATTGAGGTCAAAAAAGGGCATTGGTTGCTAGGCACCATGTGGTTGCTGAGAACTGAACCTGGATCCTTTGCAAGAGCAGTCAGTGTTCTTAACTGCTGAGCCATCTCTCCAGCCCCACTTATGATCTTTTTAATATTTATAAATTCTGTAATAACATCTTTCAATCTTAGCATTGGTTATTTGTACTTCAACATGTATTCTCTAATTTTGCATTCTCTTCCCCACCTTTTTGTTTCCAGGGTTTTATCATTTACCAGTTTATTCAAAGGACTATTTGTCTTAATTGCTGAAAACTGTTTCATGATTTAAATTATATGCATTCAGAATTATCAATGTCTAATTTGCATTATGTAAACTTTACATGTTGGATTTTCGTTATCATTCAGTTAGAGCATTTTAATTTCTACTGTGATTTCTTCTTTGATTCAAAGATTATTCAGAAGTACATTTCTCATTTCCAAAGGTTGTTTTTGAGACAGAGTCTCGTTATATAACCGAGGATGGCCTTGAACTTGTGATCCCTTTGCCACAGTTTTGAATGGTGACATAGTAGACCTGTGCCACCATGTCCAACCCCCAAAGAGATTTCATGGTTAGATTATACTGAGCTGTAGCTCCCTAAGTATGTCAAGGTACCGACAGATTCTATACTGGTAATCTTTGGCCTTTCTCTTCTTTTAGTTCTTGAGGGAGGAATATTTAAACCTCCCACTATGATGATAGATTATTACATTTCTGCTTGTTGCTCTGTCAATTTTGTTTTGCATATTTTGAGGCTATAGCATTAGGAAAATAAAGTTTTAGAATAAATTCAAATGGAAGGTTAAATATTTTCTACCATTGTGAACCATCCCATTTAAAGTCTAGTAGAAAGCATTTCCTTAGAGCCTACTTCATTTGCTATCAGCAGAGCTGTTCCAGCTATGCTTCTGTTAATGTTTTCATGCTATTTTTCCAAATTAACTTCCAACCTTTTGTGTGTATGATCCACTGTCTATTAGCTTCTTTCTCAGTCACTGATTAGTCTATCAGTCTGTTGTGTCTTTGTAGCAATGTGTGTTTCCTCTCTGCCTGCATTTACATTTTCTCTTTGCTCTTCTGTGGCTTCACTACAAGTGCATGCCAGTGTGGGTTTAACTTCATTTGTCCTGCTTGAGAATCATTGTTTCTTTTTATCACTTTGAATCTTTCATCAGTTCTGGAAGGGTTTCAGACATTAACATGTTAAATATATCTTCTCTAATACTCTATTCTTTCCTTCTGGTATCTAGACTTATGTTAGACCTTTACCCTGACTAGATGTGTGGTAAATCTTCTCATTCTGATATTTGTAACTTTTCTGGAGGGAGGGTCTGGCTATATAGCCCAGACTTGCCTTGAAGTTACTGTGTAGCTTAGGATAGTCTCACTGTTCATGATGCTCAGTCTAATTCTTGAGAAGGTGTTTAATCTTCTCTTTAAACTGTCCATTATTCATTCTCTCTCTCTCTCTCTCTCTCTCTCTCTCTCTCCTCTTCCAATGTCTTGGTTTTGTTCTTTTTAATTACTTTTTATTGAGCTTTTTAAATTTCATACATTTCCCACTCAAATCCAGACCCCCTTCCATCCATGCCTCCCCCCCATGCCCCCACAGAATCCTATGCACTCTGCCATACATGCTGAGTGCTATTCAGTCAGGTGTTTGTACCCAAATGTCCTTCAGTGTAAATGCATCCACTGGAGTCTAGTCAGCCCTTCCAGTGGTCATATGTAAATTATTTTTATTGTATGTGTATGAGTAAATTTTGTCAGCATGCATAGACATGGGCAACATATGTGCAATGCCCGCAGAGGCCAGAAGAGGGCATTAGAACCAGGGGAACTGGAGTTATGGACTGGTTAGCTGCCATGTGGTGCAGGCAGGCAAACCCAGGTCCTCTGCAGGAACAGCAGGTGCTCTTAACTGCTGAGCACGTTTTTCCAGGCCCTGGATTTTATTTTTATGAGACAGGCCTCATATAGCTCATGCCTACCTCAAACTTGCTATTTAGTTGCTGCTAGGGTCAAACTCTTGATTCCTGCGTCCATTTCCCAAGTGCTGCATTATAGGTATGTGCTGCCAGCACCAGCCCTGCTTTCTCTTTAACAAGCTTATTGTAATAACTATTTGGTTCTTCATCCAATCATTTTAAATGGATATTTTTGATTCTATCTTTTGTTTCTTTTCATTTCTTAGACATTTTATATTTTGTATTTGATAATTCCAACAGCCAACATCCTTGGGGAAAATAAACCTGTTTTTTGCTGTTTCTTCTGACTCTTAACTCATCATAGCTCTCCTCCTTGTTTGTTGAGTAGTTGTTGAGAACTCATACTAGTTCACATTAACCTCTGAAGATACTAGTGGCTAAAATTAGGGCTGTTTCCCTCAAAGATGGAGTTTGAAATATTATAGACTTTAGCTACTTTGAAGGTGCATGCATACTACAAAATCCTCAAAACCATCTATTCCATCTTTTCATTATGGTAGAGTTTAGTCTTAGGGTGACCGCTATTACAACGTTAGCATTCATCGCAGGACAATCTAGCCTTTGGTGCCTGCTTGGTGTTTCAGGCTTCCATTCGTGGTTCAAATCATCTTTCCGTTATTGGTTGTTTTTTTTTGTTTATTTTATTTTATTTTTTTTTTGACAGTGTGTCCCTGTGTAGCCTGCTGGCCTCATATTCAGAATTCTCCTGCCTCAGCCTCCCAAAGAAGCTTACTGAAAAGGAGATATATGCCTGTTTATATTTTTTCTTGTGGGTTTGTGTGTGTGTGTAACAGATGTTTTGAAATTTGCATCTCTATCATTCCTTTCTAGCAAAAATGGAGAGGTAAAATCTTAAGGAAGCAAAAGAAATATATATATATACATATATACATATATATGTGTATATATATGAGACAGAGACTGCTACGTTAAGAGATAGTAAGCATTTTATAATTTTTTGTCTTTTTCTTTTCAGACAGGGTCTGCCTATAGCCCCAGCTGGCCTGGAACATACTATGTAAACAAGGCTAGCCTGGAACTCACTATGTAAACCAGGCTGGCATTGAATTCACAGAGATCTGCCTGCCTCTGCCTCGAATGCTAGGATTAAAGGCATGCACCACCATGCCTGGCAGCATTTTATAATTTTATTACCTGATCTACTGTGGTCATGAAGCTGGAAAGCATGAACAAGGTCACTTTTTCGTGAAAGCATTCTCTCTTTTAATACCTTGATGGCACTGAATTCCATAGCAGTCACCCTGTGTTAAGAAAACAGTAATTAGGTGAAAGGTACAGAAATCACTCTATTCTACTTCATTCTAATGTGCTTTGTTACCACTTACCAGTTTCCACTTAAAATAAATTGCCTATATTTATATATACCATGTTACTAGATGGTTAACATATGCATGTGTGTGCATGCATTTTGAAGATTCAGTAAACAAATTTTCTGTTCTTATTTATTATTATTGTTTGTATGTACATGCATATATATGTGCACACATGGTGTGTGTTTTGTGTGTACATGTACAGATCAGAGGACAACTTCGTGGAGCTGGCACTCTCCTCCACCTTTCTGTGGGTTCTGGGAATAAACTCAAGACACCTTCTTTCTACCTGCTGAGTCCCCTCTGTGGTTCTGCAATTTCTTTTTGAGGGAGTCCTGCTATATAGCCCAGACTAGCCTAGAGTCCAAAATCCTCCAGCATCTGCCTCCCATGTACTTGGATTACAGGCATGCACACCACACCCAGATGCACTGTGAAATTTTTAAAAGATTACAAATAGTGTTTTCATTGGGATTTGAAAGATTCACAAGAATCATTATTTAAAAGGGGAAATAAAAAGGAACTTGTTCAATATTGTATAGCTGTATTAATTCAACAGCAAACCTAAAAATCTTATAGCCACTTTTGAAAGAGATGTATCTTTGCTCTGGAAACTGTTATTGAGTATGTTAAAGCTGTAATGAAATGCTTCTTCTAAAAAAATCAAATAATGTATTAAATTATATAGGAAAATAACACATATGACAACAGAGAAGGACAATTTTTTAAATGATGCTAGCACACTTAATTCACCATCTAGGCTTAATCTTCTACTGAGATCATTTACAAAAATAAATTTGAAATAAAGGAGAAACAGGGGCTGGAGAGATGACTCAAATTCCAGCACCCACATGGTAGCTAACAACTGTCTGTAACTCCAGTTCCAAGGGATCCAACAACCTCTTCTGTCTTCCGTGGGCATTGCACGACATGGATGCACTTACCTACAGGCAGGCAATACACTCATACACATAAAATAATAAATAAAAAATATTTAAGAAAAAGGAGAAACAGAAGAGCAAAAGAGTCATGAGCTATGCAGACATCCTTCAGTACCACAGGGTACTTATTCTAGGATACAAAGTGAATTTTAACAAATCCAAAGCTTCTCAAGTTCCTTAAATAAACTGGCATAGTATTTGTATACAATCTGTACACAGCCTCTTATATGTATTTATTTGTAGATTACTTATAATATTTAATCCAATATAAATGTCACATAAATAGTTGTCACACTATATTATTTAAGGAATAATGACAAGAAAAAATGTTTACACATTTTCAGGTCAACTTTTTAAGAAATGTTTTCCATGTAGAACTCACTGATATGAAGTACTAATTATGCATCAAAACCATAAAATGGCAGATGCAAATCAAATCATATGAATATAACAGCATATGTAAATATATTAAATAAGCAAATAAAAAAGATAATGAGACTGAATAATGGAAAAACAAAATAAGATCATGCTATATGTTGTCTATAGGAGATACATTTTAGTTTCAAAGACACAAAGAGTTTAAAAAAAAAGGACAAAAAAGAAATATCATACAAAGAGCTACGTGCTACAGGGGCCATGCTAATTAGAAGACAAAAAAAGCAGCCTTGAATTTCTAAAACCCAGGACTGAAATAGGGAACATGACTGTTGACCTGATAGAAATGAAGACTAAAAGGGCATGCTATGAACAATTGTACAGTCACAAATTAGGCAATCTAATGAAATGAACAAATTCCTAGAAAAGTACAAGCTGCCCAAACTAAGAAGAAATTTATTATATATATAATTTGGTGGGGGTAGTAAGGGTGCAGATAGGGGAGGCGATCTAAATATGATCAAAATATATTAAATGCAATTTGCAAAAATTCAATAAAAATAAATCATGAAAACCCTCAACATGTCTACACAACAAAACACTGACTAAATAATCAACACAATGAGAAAAGTCCAGGGCCAGGTGGCTTCACTGGTAAATGACATCAAGCATTTGAAGAATTAATACTCAGCTATTTAGAAGGCTGACAGAGGAGGGTCAATGAGTTTGAGCCAGTCTGGGCTTCACACCAAGTTCCAGGTCAGCCTGAGCTACAATGCGAAACCCTGTCTCAAAAGAAAACAGTGAAAGGAAGTTTCACAAGGAAAGGAAAGTAAGGGAGAAGGAGAGGAGAAGAGGAAGGAAAAGAAATATATATGTAGATATATGTATATATGTACATACATCTATGTGTATGTATATACACAAACACATAACAAAAAACCTTGTCCACAATTGTTCAAAACAGTATTGTTCATAATAGACAAGAAGAGGAAACAACTGAAATTTCTATCTACTGATAAAAAAGATGAGCACAACGTGGTCTATGTGTAAAATGAAGTTGCATTCAGTCATGGAAAAGGATGCAACACAACACAAACAACCTTCCAAAATGTCACAGTGGATGGATGAAGCCATCTAGTCACCTAGGACTACATGTTGTATGATGCCATGTATGTGAAATATCCCAAATCGGGGTAGCAATACAGAAAATAAATTACTGGCTGCTTACAGCTGTGATAGGAGAAAATAACTGGGAAGTGGCTGTGATCAAGTATCAGTTTTCTTTTTAAGGTGGTAAGAATGTTCAAAATTGCATAAGTGGTGGTAGTTCCACAATTTGTGAACATACTAAGTATCACTGAATTTTATTTCAAGTGAGTAAACTTGACACTGCGCACTTATTCTTTATAATTTTGTTTGTGTGTGCTCACACACATAAGCCATGGCATGTGTGTTGAGAAGACAATTTCCAGGAGTCAGTCCTCCCTTTCCACCACGGAGGTCTTGGGGCTCAAACTCAGGTGGTCAGGCTTGGCAGCAAGCACCTTTACCCATTGAACCACTCGCCAGCCCTCTCTTGCCTTTTTGATAACAGCCATTTTAACAGGTGTGAAATAATATTTTTGTTGGGGTTTTGATGTTCATTTTCCTGATTAGAGGTACGTCTAACCTATTAACCATTTGCATGTCATCTTTGGAAGAGGCTATTTAGGTCGTTTGCCCATTTTTTAAACCAAACCTTTTTTTTGGGGAGGGGGGGGAGGCTTACTGAATTGCCCGAGTTTGTTATAGCATTGTTTCTAAATGCAAGATCCTGGATCTAATGTAGATTTAGTCACTCCATAACTGTTATGTAGTGTACTACATGTGTGCTACAAATTATTATGTTCTACTAAAAAGAATGAAGTAGCTATGTGCAAACAGAGAGTGATATTCATGTTATAATCTTAATGGGGGGGATACTTGCAGAACAGAGAGTGCAATTGATTGTGCTTTTAAAAACTCCGTGTCTTTAATGGCCATGCTAGCCAAACTTCAAGCACACACCTGTTTGCTGGTTCGATAATAGAACAAAGTAAAAGCGACATTAAACTTTTTTTTTTTTTAAGTTTTAAAACTATCTCCAGGTGTGGTTGGTGGCACACACTTTTAATCTCAGCAATCAGGAGGCAGAGGCAGAGGGATCTCTGTGAGTTCAAAGTCAGCCTGGTCTACATAGTGAGTTCCAGGCCAGCTGGGGCTACAGAGAGACCCTGTCTCAAAAGACAAAACAACAACAACAAACTATGTTTATGGAGGCTAGAGAGATGGCTCAGCAGTTAAGGGCACTAGCTGATCTTACAGAAGACCCAGGTTCAGTTCCCAGCACCCACATAGCAGCTAATAACTGTAATTCCAGTTCCAGGGGATCTGACATCCTATTCTGACCTAGGCGGGCACAGTGCCACATGGGTGCACTTACATACATGTAGGCATTACACACATACACATAAATAAAATGAAAATAATATTTTAAAACCATATATAGTTATATCAAGAAGAAGAGGGTGGAAGAGACCACCCTTGGTGCTAGTTTTAGTTACTTCTGGGGGGAAAGGATTATTGAGAAGGGAGAGAAGATAGCATTTTCTTTATACTTCTTTCTCGCACTTGTTAAATATAAACATATTGGGTTTGTCATGCATACAAATCCAGAAAAAAAATACAGGGAAAAGGGAAAATAAGCTATGAATGGCACCACATGAAATGACACTCGATATTTTAATCACATACACTTCTGGATAGAGAACAGAAGGGACAAAACCAGGCGGGGCTATTTGTGACTCAGGGAAGGTTATGAGTTAAGAGACTGAAGGAATGGAGGGTCTTTCTTTCTTTGTATACAGTTGTGTTCATGGAGGTTGATGCTTTATGAATTGAAAATTGTTCCTTTTGCTATCAAATATCAATGTATTGACCACTCGTTGATGTCTGGAACTGCTTGTATTTTGTCTAATTGCAAATAGCAGCATGCCTTCATGTGCATGGCTGCTCTTAGTCACTCAGGACTGCGTCTGCTTGGTCACAAATACAGTCCTTGGTAGTTACGGAACATACACACCTTTGGTGAAGAGGGCCCATGCATGTTGTACTAGTCATTTGGTACTGGAAAAATTGTGGGGTTGTACCATAACTCAGTCTGATGTAAGCTCCTCGATTGCTGCCTTCTTCATAATAATTAGAAGCAGAAAATACAGTAATGACCTGATTAAAGACAGGATCCGGATCATTAAGTTAGTTCTCAAAAGGTCATTCAAAAAAGCCAGAAATAGCTCATTTCTTTAATATAAAAAACGCAAACAAAGCTTATAATTGCTGTAAATTATCCAAATTTGACTGACATGATTTCTTATAATATCCTTGAAGGAAAATAATGATTTCCACTCTGTGTCTCCAGGAGCATTAACTCCTAGATATTCATCCAATATCCCCTGCATATGGTCCTGAACTACTGCATACTATTTTTTTTTAATTTTTAAAAATGATTTATTTAATAACAACATACTTAGAAGAAGCATATCATTACAACACAATTGACATATTCGATAACGTTTTCCTGAGGTAGGATGCATCTCTTTCAAATTTGGCTGTAAATTTTTAGGTTTACAGTTGAATTATTACAGTTATACAATATTGTACTCAGTATAAACCCTATAAGACATAAATTAAATGATGTTTTAACCTTTAAAAAGATCTCCATTTCATTATTAAAATACACAGTTTCATATAGAAAAATTCTTTTTCAATGCAATTGACATTGGATGTTTGCACATACTGCATACTATTTTATTGTCAGATCTTAGCGTTCTCTTTAATGTTTGGTTTTATGAAGTCTAATTTTCCAAGAGGATAAATTCCTTATTTTCTTACCTTGAATAAAACTTGATTAGAAGCTCAGTCTTTTTCTCTTCCAAGAAGATGAATGATTTAGAGGGTTCAGAGCTGCACAAAACCAATGCTTTAAGAGCAAAGAAATAATGGGATCGTGACCACTATCTTAGGAAGGAACCAGCCTTGGGGGCATAGGAGAGTATGGAAAGGCAATATTTGCTAGTGACAAGAAACTTGGCTTAGGCCTAGTTCTGGCCTAATAAGAATGTCATTTCATGTGATCCGCTGTCATTTTCTAATTACAAAGAGATCCTAAATACTTGCCCTACTCATCTTGCAGTGTTAGCATGAGCCAAAAATAAATCAATGAAGTTAAGAATAATAAAAATAAGTATTGCCACAGAAAGAATGCCACACAATTCAGTATTCATTTTTATGTACTTCTGTTCACTATGGAAAAAGAGCTATCCCAGGGAAAATGAGTATAAGAACCAGCTTCTTCGTCTTCACCTCTTCTAGGCATGGTGTGTGTGTGTGTGTGTGTGTGTGTGTGTGTGTGTGTGTGTGTTTACTCATTGTCACTATTATGGTTTAAAGTAATGCATTTGGCTCTTACACTGAAAAGGGGTAGACTTGCAATGGTTAGTTTTGATTGTCAACTTGATTGGATTACTAAGCACAGTTCTTGGTAGGTATGTCTGAGGGAGTTTTTAAGAGAGGATTAACTGAGGGAGGCATATCTTCCCTGAATATTGATGGTACCATCCCATGATATGGAAAGGGAGAATACCAGCTGAGCATCCATGTTCATCTCTCAATGCATCCTGGACATCCAAGATGTGAGCAAGCAACCTCACACTCCTGCCACCATGACTTCTCTACCATGATGAACAATACCCTCAAGCTGTGAATCAAAATATATCTTTCCTCAAACTGCTTCTTGCCAGTTGGTCATAGCAATGAGAAAGGTCATTACTATAGTCATATATTAGAATTTCTGTTTCTGGGATTAGTGAAGATTAGAAAATAAGCTAAATATCTCTTGGAGTAAGGACACTGAAACCCCTTCAAGTAATCTATATGAATTTTGGTTTCTGTTTGGCACTAAGGAAGACATCTTCTCATGGACTTTTAGGTAGGAGACACTCTATGTAGAGAAGACTATGCTTTGTGGGAAGATGTCTGTGAGCATGCCACCCAGGATATGTTAGCTCACCTTTCCATCATGGCAGATCTCATATCCTTCAGGCTTACATTCATGAGACCTAATGAGCATCTTCAACTGGTTTTTATTAAGAACTTTGGAGGTAACGTCTGGTCCAAAATAGCAGCCCCCTCCTCGACTTGTGTTTGGATAACAGCCTTTTCTGCCTCTGGGGTCACTCCATAGAAGGTCAACAATCTTGGAACAATAAAACAAATTAGTCTGATATTTATAAGTAACAGTCCATCTTTTTATATTCCAACTGTTTGCTATAAATACTAACCCAAGGTATCCCATAAATTATTTCCTATTCCCCTTTCAAAATATTCTCCCATACCTATAGTCACTAGCGTGGTGGATGAAGGAGGATCAGGACTTCAAGGCATCTTGGACACTTAGAGAATTCAAGGCTAGCCTGAACTACAAGAGACTCTCTAGCTCAAACAAACAAACAAACAAACAAACAAAACATCAGTTGCTTCACAATTGTTGAATCTACAAAGTTCTTTTCTGTCTCTTTGGTTTTCTGTTTTTTTCAGACAGTGTTTTACACTGTAGCCCAGGTTAGCCTGGAACTCACTATATAGTCCAGGCTGGTCTCAAAGTCATGATGATGATCCTGGTACCTCAGCCTCCCAAGTGCAAGAATTACAGGCACAAGCTACCATGCCCAGATAAGTTCTTTTAAGAGATTTTCACTGTTATGTTCAGAAGAGAAAGTAGATCCTTAAAATGAACACCTATTAGGTGTTCTTAAAATGTGCAAAGAGATTACATAGATCTCTCATCCATGGGGTGCAGGTTTTTGTCCTGTTGAACATACAGCCTGAAGTTCTTGCTCCCTCTCACCTCAAACAGAGAAAACTTTTCAGCCAAGAGAATCCCTAAAGTTTCTTGATCTTCTACCCCCTTTCTAAGGAGTTTTTCCATTCAGTGGTACATTGATCCACTGATTAGACTCTACTAGGTCTTCTAAATCCACCATGATGCTGCTTCAAGCTTAACATTTCCTTTTGGGGCTGGAAGAAGCACGTGCAGGTCACAGAATACTCAAGACTGAAGACTCAAGTTTCTAAGAATATTTGTTATAGAAGTCAGAGACTCCAGATCCTCTTTGTGTCTCTGTTCTACATTGAATGTTTGACTTTTAAAAAATTAACTATTACAAAAGCTTAAAGAACAGTGAATAAAACTATCTTTATCACTAAAGTCAATGACAACCTTGAGAAAACTGTCTGGGTCTGACTTTGAAAATCTCTCCATAAGGTTTTTGGGTCAATTGACCCACAAAGTACTGCAAAATTCTAACAGATAATGATTCTGAAAGTTTACAATTTTCCATACTTTTCTTTGTGGTTGTTGTTGGTGTGTGTGTGTGTGCAGGGAATTGAATCCAGAGCTTCATGAATATTAAGTAAATGTTCTACCTCTGAGCCACCAGTCCCTCTACCTCTACATGTTCCTTTTGATTAAAAGCATGCAATTAAAAATTGTGTGTGTGTGTGTGTGTGTGTGTGTGTGTGTACATGTGTATAGAGGCCAGAGATCAATGTCTGGTGTCTTCCTCAATCACTCTCTGCTCTCTTCTCTCACTGGACTTGGAGCTTCCCACTTCAGATAGACTGACTGGCCAGCAAGCCTTAGTAATCCACCTGTCATTGCCTCACCAGCACTGAGGATTACCAGGTGCACAATGCCACACCTGGCTTTTATGTGGGGATCTGAACTCATGACCTTATGGTTACACAGCAAGCACTTTACTCACTGAACCATCTCCTCATCCCCCTTCAATGGAAATATTTCGGTTATTTTAGGGGGTACAAATCAGTCCTGAGAAGAGGACCAGAAATGGTTGTTCCACTAAACCTGACTGTGCACCTATTTACATGTTTAGCATTAAAGGGGACCTAAATATAAATGAGAAAATAGACAGTAGAAAGAAGGGCAGAACTTGAAGAACCATCCTGGAATGATCAGTACTTGGTCAACACTAGTGACACCTGCACCAGGCTCAGACCAGACACTGAGGGTTTATGATGACAGATGGAGGTGTGAATTAAAATCTCTCAAAGAAGAGTCAGCCCAAGGGCCTCCTTTCTCCCCTGTGAATTCCAATATTGGCACAATTGTGCCCTACAAAAAGTACAATGTAACACCTTGAATTTGATGGTGTGTATACAAAAATAACACTTGTATTTCAAACTGAATCATATCTGGCTCCTACACTATGAATTCACATTTGGAGGATGTCACTTGGCCTGTAACATAATAAAGGAGGAAGCATGGAACATAAGGGGTTGTATTTTATTAGGAAAGGATTAAGTTTTCAATTCCTACATGGGATGCAGTTATTTATAGGTAATGTTTCCTGTGGAAAACATCTCAAATTATCCTTGAAGTAAAACATACATGATTTTATGTACACAATCCTATAAAATATGGATAATTGGGTATTTCCTATGCATGATGATGGATGAATAGTACATGATGAGTTATATAAAACTGAAGTTTTACAGCATCAGTTTTCTCCCTCTTTGCCACATATAAGGCATGGTGGCACATGTCTATAATCCCAACCCTAGGGAAGCATAGACAGATGGCTCACAGATGGTTCCAGGCCAACTTGGGCTATGCAGCAAGATTCTATCTAAAAAAAAGCCCTAAAGACTGGGGGTAAAACTTAATGGTAGAGTGTTTGCCTAGCATGCACAAAGCCCTAGCTTCACACTCCAGCACCATAAGGAAAAAAACACATATGTTGGAACTCTGCTGAATTAGAATAAGCAGTGGCCAAAGGGCTCCCTCTTCAAGTAGTTATAGTGTCTTTGACAAATTACATATTTGGGTCTTAGTCATTATCAATGAAATAAGGAAAAGACATATTTATCATTTATTTTTCATTGACTTAAAGTCATAAGGACTAAAATTTACTAAGAAATGAGCTTCTCAGAGGCTGGAAGATGGTTCAACAGTTAAGAGCACTGGCTGCTCTTGCAAAGGGCCCAGGTTTGGTTCCCAGCACTCACATGGCAGGTAACAACCATCCTGAAACTCCAGTTCCAGGGGATCTGATGACCTCTTCTGACAGCCACAGGCATTACACACATGGTACACTTGTATACATGCAGGCTAAACACTCAATACACATAAAATAAAAATTAATCTATCAAAGAGAAAAGAAATCAGCTTCTCTCTTAGAATCCATTTTATGAATTCTAGGTATTTTCTGTCTAGAAATTACTCACTTAACTAGGTTTACCCAGATTGTAGTTGTAACATAGATTTAATACTGGAGTTCACAAATAAAAATTCTATAAAGGGTCATATGTTGGTGAAATAAATTCTTTCTTAAAACCATCTCTTTTCTTTCAACAACCACCTATCTTCTGAAATACAAAAGTCTTTGGGTGGTAATTGTATTAAAGATGATGTCTTTGCAACATTCTTTCTAGAAAAATTGGAACAATTGGCCTGCAAAGTACCTCAAAGTTCTAACAGACTATGACTCTAAAAGTTTGTTGTATTTTTGTTGCTGTTGTTATTCCCCTGCTCCCCCCCCAAATGGGAAAGTTGTACTGAACTACAGCTTTATATGACCAGGATTGCAAAAATGTATTTATTGTAGTCTTTTACATCTCTTCAATCTAAAATAAATCAAGATTAAAATGAAATTCTAACTCATAAGATGTCTAGAATCACAGGAATTGGGGTATACTTTGCTCAACACATGTGAGGCCCTAGGTTCAATGCCCAGTATAAGGTAAAATAAACCACAGATAATGAAAAAAAATCCTGATGAGGTAGTAGAGAATTTGGAATCCTTGCTTATACTGTACTAATGACAATGTAAACTGTTGTAGCTACTCGAGAAATGAGTTAGAACGTTCTAAAAATGTCAACTTTTGAGTTAGCCTAGCAATTACACTCCTAGATATACACCCAAAAGAAATAAAACATACATGCACACAAACTTGTGTGTGAATATTCATAGCAGCATTGTTCAGTAACCCAAAATAGAAAGAACCCATATGCTTATCAACTTATGAATTAATACAATGTAATCTATCCATACAACTGAAAATTATTCAGCAAGAAAAACAAAGTACTGATCTATGCTCCAATATGGGTGAACCTAAAGAACACTGGGCTGAGTAAAAGACGGCAGACACAAAAGACTGCATAATGCACATATCCATTTCAATAATGTGTGCAGAATAGGCAAATCTACAAATGAGTGAATTATGTGGTAGGTGGTTTATATCCCTCCCAATGAAGGCATTAAAATATAGGCATGAATTCAGAGAGGGTGATATGATCTCCTTATAAAAGTGAAGTCATTTCTAATCCCTGTTTTATAAAGGACAGTATCATCACTATTGATGTTTTCCTTGCCACTCTGGTGAATGTGTTGATTACTTACTTGTTCCCATTCACGCTTTGTTAACTGTTCAGAAGGGGCCTTCTCTGATTCGCCCTTCCCTGGCATAGTAGTGGTTGCACCTGCTTTAGTTTTCTTGAAATCACTGGTATGGTCTGTACTTAATGACACTGGCGGCATCAACACAGATTTCAACTGCAAAACACACTCATGTTTTAGTCAAATACTATCCACCTCTTGCACTGCATGCATGGGGATCTGTCTATATAGTGCCTCAACTCAATGAAAAAACATGCAATTACCTTTTTCATCTCCCCAACTTCCTATGTCTTGTTGATTCATTGATGTCTGTAAGATGGACCTATTAAAATCTTTCCATATGTTTTCAACTAGAAATGCTGCCTTACAGGGAAAGATTCACATCAGAGATTCTAAGGAACACCAGAGGCACATACATAGGTGCTAGACATCTTGTAAGGAATTCCTGAATGAAATAGAAGATGATAAATGTAGGGAATCTAGCCTCCTTCTGAGCCTTTCTCTGCACCTGGGGCTGTCAAGTATTCAGAGACATCGTTTTAAGGGGTGGCTGCTTTTTATTTCATTGTGTTTTCCAAGATAAATGAGAGAAAAACACATCTGTGTCTAGGAAAGTTCTCACAGGGGACACAGGTTGAAGATTTTGGAAGCTGTTCAACCTAAATGCAGTACAATTCTCAGCCTGGCCTCTCAGCAGTTAATCATATTCTCTAATCGTAGTAGCAAAGTTTCTGTGTTTCTTTGGAAAATAAAATGTCTTCAAAATATTATGTGACCTAATATAATCCCTCTGCATTCTCTTACACAAGCTGAGACTCGAATGCTGTTCTTTTTTCTTTGAAGCACTATACAGTCACATAAAGCAATTAATTTTTTTACATTTATTTATTCTGTGTGCATGTGTGTACGTGTACATATGGTAGGGGTCAAAGGACAACTTGGGGGAGTCAGTTCTCTCCTTCTACCATGTGGGTACCAGGGATAGAACTCAAGTTTCAGGCAGGGGAAAGCACTTACACACACTAAGCCATTTCCCTGGCCCACACGAGGAAATCTACTTTTGTATCTCATCTGATTATTTTATTTTAAAAAGTACTTTTGTAATCTCATCTGATTATTTTATTTTTTTAAAAAATATTTTGTGTATTATTTTTATTTTATGTGTATGAGTGTTTTGCTTGCATGTATGTAAGCGCACCCATGTCATATAATGCCTACAGAGGTCAGAAGAGGGCATCTGATCCCCTGGAACTGGAGTTATGGATGGTTGTTAGCAGCCATGTGAGTGCTGGGAACCAAACCTGGGCCCTTTGCAAGAGCAGCCAGTGTTTTTAATCACTGAGCCATCTCTCCAGCCCCATAAGGCAATTTTAAATAATTCTTCTGTTACACTGGTGGCCATAGTTCAGTGATAAGCATTTCTCTATCTATGGTGGACATTTAGTTTCTTCTATAAAATAGGGTATGAAATTCTGTTTTTGTTTCTCAAAACTAAAATTGAATATCATTCTGAAGTATCTCATTAATTGGGTAGAAATTCAATCTTAGCTATTATTCACTAGTTCATAACCTACTTTCCCTATCTTCCCCAAGCAAGTATTCTTAGATCTTAGGCAAACCAGAATACTCTGGGAGGATCCTCCAGACCTAGGTACACACAATTCACCTCTGATAAGCTCATTGGACAAGGCGTCATAGTCCCTTACGAAGATGTGTTTCTGCAGTTTCAAAGCCACTAAGGATTATGATACTTTGCCCTAGACCCACTAAGGCATCGAATCATCTTATTCTAGGAGAGATCCTACTAACAATCCTTCCCTACCCCCCTGACTGGGAATTTGAAGAACACTAAACCAGAGCCTTAGTCTTATAGGATCTCATTTCTCTGTATTAACCCCCATTCTGTTCACCTTTCAAAAATGCCTTTAATGAATCTAGAATGGAGGTTGTCATCAAATTTTCCCAACTCTATCCCTCTCCTATTAATGTCCACAGTGGTAGAGGAATGGCCAACCTAAAAGTGGGGTAATAAAGTAAGGGTTATAATATTTTGACTTGGAAATCTACTTTTGTATCTGATCTGATAAGAGTTCCCAGAAGCTTGAATCTATTGTTTTCATTACAATTCAATTTTACTTATTTAATAAAATATGTATGTCCTGTCAAGTTCAACCTAACTCTAAGAAGGGCAGAAAATGCAAACAATATACAAGTCAAAGTCAAATTTCTTCTCTCTCTCTCTCTCTCTCTCTCTCTCTCTCTCTCATCTTTTTGAAACAGGATCTCCTTGTAGCCCCAGCTGACCTGTACTCGCTATGGAAACCAGGGTGTCCTCCATCTCACAGAAATCTGCCTGCCTCTGTCTCCCTAGTGCTAGGATTCAAGGCCTGCACCACCATACTTGGCTAAATTTTTATTTTTAAAACCCATGTATGATCAGGTGAAAGAGCAATCCATTAATAGGGTAAAAATATGGGGTATATTAGAAAAATTACTGGCTCCAAATCTACGCTTAAGCTCTGTCTTTATAATTAAAATGCATACTTCACACAAGGCACAGTGGTGTACATCTGTAATCCCAGCATTAAGGAGACAGAGGCAGAACGAGTTCCACAAGGTCAAGCTGGAGAGATGGCTCAGCGGTTAAGAGCACTGACTAGTTTTTCAGAGGACCCAGGTTTGGTTCCCAGCACCCACATGGTGGCTAATTACTAATTGTAACTGCAGTTCTAGGGGATCTGACACTCTTTTCTGAACTCCGTGGGCATTGCATGACATGGGTGCACTTACATACATGCAGGCACTACACTCATACACATAAATTAAGGATAAAATAAAATATTTTTTAAAAAGATAAAACACTAAACAGATCACAGATACAAGTATCAGAAAAAGGAAAGGTGGAGAAGAAAGCTTTATGTGCTTAGCACTTATTAATTATACGCTATTTTATTTAAGTTATGATAGTTATTTTTTTAATTTTTATTTTATTTATTTTATTTTATTTTTATGTTTATGAGTGTATTGCCTACATGTATGTGAGTGCACCCGTATCATGCAATGCTGCGGAGGTCAGAAGAGGGCTTCAGATTTCCCTGGAACTGGAGTTAAGGGTGGTTCATAGCCACCATGTGGGTGCTGGGAATCGAACCCGGGTAGTTATTTTTATATTAACCTTCAGGTATGAGAACTGAAGTTTAAAAACCTTCAGCACTTTGCCCAATCAACCAGCCATGAAATGTCAGAGTTAGGATATAACCCTAGCTAAATCTGTCTGATAGCATTGCTTCAATATTTGACCTACAAAACATCATATTCTTGGCTAGAATCATATCCACTCACTTTAGTTAACATTGACTATGTCTATCAAAATGCCTCATTGTCTTAATTATATGCTGATCTCATGAATACCTTAAGCTTGGGATGGTCTTAAAATGTATTCCAAGTGGGATAGTCTTCAAAAAATAGAAAACACTAATAACAATCACACCAGGAACAGAAGTGTAAACCATCACACAAGTGTGACCATCACCCAGTGGTGGGGAGGAAGTACATCACCATAGATTCAGGAAAGAGGTTGGAAGAAAGTTTCTATCCACTTTATTTTAAGTTTGCTCTGCTTTGATCTTAATTTTCTAAGGAGGGGCTGGAGAGATGGCTCAGAGCACTGGCTGTTCTTGCAGAAGACCCATGTTTGAATTCCAGCACCCATATGGTGGCTAACAATTGTCTGTAACTCCAGTTCCAGGGAATCTAACACCCTCTTCTGACTTCAGTGGGCACTGCATGACACAGTTACATTTACATACATTCAGGCATAACACTCATACACAAAATATTTTTAAAATTCTAAGGAGGTATTCAACAAATAAGAAGTACTTACTATCTCTGAGGTACTGGGGATTTGCTAGTGAAACAGAGAAGCAGAAGAACACAGTAAAAAAACAGGACCACCATTCCTTATTTAAATTTGGTGACTTATGGAGGATATGTACAAAGGGTTTGGAAGGACAGAGAGGGAACCTAGTCTAGCCTGGAGGTTGTATTAAGGTGAAAGTAAAGGGATAATGAGATGATAATAAAAACATCATCCACATGTGTGTAAAGGCTCCAAAATTTCAAGGTGCAGTAAGGATCATATTTCTGTGTCTATCAGATTAAATTCTACCTCTAGATCCCACCTGCCCAGACTGGTGGAAGTTGACTATCAATCTATAGGGATAATGATTCAAGCTCCCCACTTGAACCAAAAACCATCATCTGTTCCACAGTTGCCATTGGTTCTCATGCTCATGTGGCATTCCATTTGTCCCTAGTTTAGGGGCTTCATCTTGGCACCTGTAAAGGAGGAAGACAGCTCTAGCTATCTGTAAGGCTTTGTCCAGGAGTGCTTCACTAAGTGTGGAATCTTTACAGGCACAATAGAGCCAATTGCTGGAGAGGTTCTATAGGAGTTCCTGTTGTAGCTGTTGTATTTAATATGATTGTTTAGAGTTAAGATATTCTGAAAATAGTTACCCTGATTAATTGAAATAAAGAGCAATCATAACAATTTGGAAATCAATTTATACATGATTCTACTTATATGAGTTACCTAGAGCAATCAAATTCACACATAGAAAATAGAATATTGGTTAGTCTAGCTAGAAAGAGATGGGGAAGAGGAGCTATTGTTTGGTGGGTGTAGTTTCAGTCTAGAAAGATAAAAAGTTCTGTAAATGGATGGTGGTCATGGCAGTGTTGGTGGCACAACAATATGAATGCACACAGTGACCCTGAACTGTATACTTAAAAATGGTTATGGTAGTAAATTTTGCAATTTTTTTTACCACAACGTAAGTGAATTAATTGAAACCTTACTTTAAAATTTTTACTTTTAGAAATCTGATGTTCCATTGTATCCCCATTTTCCATTTTCAACATGATTTTAAAAAATATTGTGTGTGTGTGTGTGTGTGTGTGTGTGTGTGTGTGTGTGTGAACTCTTATTTCTCACACAATCACTCAGATTTTTTTTAAATTTTTTTATTT